CATTTCATCTTGTACCCTGTACTTTGTCATCCATTCCCTCTTGCAGCGTGCTAGACAGTGCACAGACAAAAAGAGCCCTTACCGTTGGCCAAAGAAATTACACGCTTAAAAGAGAAACTTTCTAATATGGAGTGTCATGCAGAAACGTGAGGAATGGGCACAGAATAAACAGTTCTGAAAAGACATGCACCCTACCGAAATCTCAAGCAGAGGCCACTAAAGACTTGTTGTCACTTAAGGAGAACTGCTCAAGAAAGAAGAATAAACAACTGCTGTATTGGTCAATCGCTGCACCTACTGCTGAGAGGCTGAAAGACCTTTCATCTCTATTTGGTTAATACTGAGCAAGCATCCTGGCTTTTTAATGCCACTACCTATGTTTGTCACTCTGCTATCCTACAACTCGCCCTCAGAATTTCACTACACTTCCTCAAAAAGGCTAAAATAATTTCCCAGTAATATTCATTGTGGTTTTAGCATTTCAATAGTTGCTTTTAAAGTCATTATGCTGACAAAATTCCACTTTTAGATTTCTGATCTCTGGTTAAAATAGTTTCAACGGTCACTTAATGTTGAAGTAAATAGAACCTGTCAGTGAACACTACAAGACTAAAGGGGGGGGGGGGGGGGAGCAACTCAGAAACTACACAACAAGGAGAAGGGAGAAGGAATAAACAAAATAAGTTAAAAAAGAAAACCCACACACAGAACAAAACAAGTCCATGGGGTTGGCCTCTGTGTTCATGCATTCACTGACCCTCAACAATAACAAATGAATTATTTTAAGAAGACAGTAGCACAAACTGGTTGTGCAACTTTTTATTTCCATTTTCACCCCACAACTAACTGATCTATGGAATATTTCAGTTTTTGGTATTAAAACCATGTTTGTTCAAAGTTTCAGCTGATATCTGAAGAGCAAGAGTTCATCCAATGCTATTTCCTTATCTATTTAACAAAATCTCTTTAAAAGTATTCTTAAATAATCAAGCACAGAAAAAAAAAATTCTTCATCCCAAATTATGGTGGTTCTCTCCAGTCTTCTTCATCGAAAGCACAACTCTTATTCTGTCTCAAAGAATGGTTTATTAGCGTTACATTTTTCCAAATAACTAGAACACAATAGTGTAAAAAGAAGGGGAAGGCTAAAAATAATAATAATTTTAGTGCTATGTGTCGCTCGCAGTTGTTTCCAAAATCCTCCCATGCTTTGCAGCTCCCAGCATACACAATTAACAGGACTGACCTTGTTGAAATCTCACTGGGCAAGCACGATAGCACTAAAAAAAGAACACCAGCCCTCCCGACCCATTGCTAACTATTAACAAACAAATGTATTTCTGTTCTTTCTCCAAGGCAGACCTACAAATATATCAGCCCTAAAGATTCACCAAGAATGGAAACCAGAGTATTTGGTGATGCGACGGGCGCAAACAAATGGTACCCATGAGCTATTAAGCGTAAGGGAGCAACTGAACCCAGAGTGTAATAAAAAGACTGAAGTGTCAGCGAGATGCAGAGCTAGCTGAGCCTACAGCTACAGCAACAAAGGCCAAATTGTACTGGAGGCTCAAAACAACAGGAGCAGCTAACCACAAGCCCAGCAAACTGTCTTTACCACTGTGTAAAATTTGGCTGGAAGTCACAGCTCGCATAAATACGTTACCTGGGGGCAGGGGGACAACAGGCTACAGAAAGCAAAGAGGAGATACTGGTGATGTTGTTTAAGAAGAAAGTGGCCTTTTTCACACAGGAGACTCTATCCCTTGTGCAATTTTGCCTCCTCTCACATATTTTAAAGAATGACTTTGGCAACAAAGCTTTCAGGAGCCAGGGGCTTCCTAGACCAGGGAAGGTTTGTCCGTATCAGCAGATTGCTCTGATTTGGGGTTCTCCCTTTCCCTGCAAATTCTTGCTAAGCCAATAAAACTGTGCCCTTTTTATGCTCGAGATTTCCACACATGCACTTTTAAGTAATTCAAGGGGTTCCTGATGGCTTCTGCACCCAACTCCGCCAGGGAAACGGCAGGTCCGCCATCAGTACCGGCACTCCAGCTGTGGATCCATCTCTGTGGTCACGCACCCAACCTACCCATTCTGTAACCTGAATTCTTAGGTATTTCACCTCAGTAGAGTCAAGAGAGGCAAAGCAGAAGTGAGTTGCTTTGACTAGCAACTTGGCAAAGCAAAAAAATACCTTTTCACTACTGAAGGTGGCCCCCAAATACTGTCAAATTTGCGTCAGAGAAGCTCATAACTAACCCATCGCAACTCCTGGACTTCAGAAACCAAAGAAATGTCAACAGGACTATCAGATAACTTGCAAACATTGATTCTGCAGCTAGAAAGACTTGCGACATCCTTGGAAAAGGCCTGAGAAATGCTCCACCTAAACTCCGCGCTGTTAAGGAGTAAAGCTCAATGCTTCATCAGCAGCTTCATTTTAGCTGTGCCCCTTTTATTAGTTGCAGAGCCTGTTGCTGTCAATACAGAGGTCTTTGCCAGAAAAAACACCCTGGCTCACAAAAAACAGCGGCTTTCTAGTCTGAATTAACAAGAGAATACAAGCCACTGCTTTCTCTATCAGCTGTTAGGAGCTGCTAACGATAAACAAAGCACTTTTATTTAAAGCCTGACTACCACAAGTTAAAAATATCCATGTTTAGTTTAAACTCGAGTTAAGTTTTGCAATTTAAAATTAGATTCTCTAACAGAGCAGTTCAAAAAACACAGACCAAAACTCCTCAGGACAAGAGCTGACCTGTTTAAAACTCTAAGTTTAAAAACCCACTTTTTTTTTTTGTTTGTTTGTTTTTACTCCAGTGGTTGCCAAGTTTATCAAGAGAATATATGCTGTCTACCACTGGTCAGAGCGTTTAATTTCTGCCTTTTATTTTCCTCAATATATTTCATGGAACGTGGAGGGGAAGAGGTTTTACTTCATTTGGAAAAAATACATTTATAACTAAAAACTAATTTATAGTTATTTGTCTGTTAAAAAGATGTGAAACTGAAAACAGTTTGTTGAATAAATACTTTTTCAGCCTTAAAAGTGAAATGGACTAAAATCAGATCACTTATTTCCACTGCTCTTTTCCCGAGGATGTTTTTATCTGTTTGAGGAGCATGCAGCACTATCTGCGAAGCCGATCTCACCACTGACACCTGGTATCTCCCACCATAGCTATTGATATCATTCAGTGCTGAGCACAGGTCATGAATATCACCAGACAAAGCACTTTTTTTTTTCCCCCCCCCAGAGCTGGATGCAGAGCTCAGTGAAAATAATGGCATCACCTCCTGCATGGCATGGGGAGCCAAACACGCAGGATAAACCTCCCTCCATAGAGGCTGCTGACAGCCTGTGTTAGAAAGCTGACTTTGAGAACCACAGGTAAGATTCATAAGGTGAAACACAAGAACACAGGTCTTCGGTCAAACATAAAATTCAGTATTTTTGAATTATAATCTCTGTGGAATCTACTATAAAGTGCAATCTTGAATAAAACTTTTCCATATCTCGTTTCCTTACTACGAGCTTGTCATGAGGGGAATGATAAGAAAAGATGCTGGGCACCAAAGAGGTCAAACTCTTGCGGAGAAACTGAAAAACAGCAGCAGCAACAGGAGTCACCGGCAGCCTTTAATTTATTCCTCTGCATTTCAAAGGCCACGTGCTCGCCTTAGTCAGAAGATGCACCTTCCAACTACAGCCAGGCCTCCAATTATTCTGCATAATCCTAATTGAGAGCCCAAGTAAAGCGTTGCCTGCACAAGGAACCTGCAAGTAAAACAAATTATGCAAGAAGGCACGCCAAGCATGCTTAAGTATAATAAAGCCTTTTAAAATGATTAGCAGGTTTACTCTTTAACCTGGCACGGTAGCCGGCGCTCGGTGCCCAAGAGGACAAACACAATAAGGATAAAGCATTGCACAAATATTCCACATGCCAAAGTAAGAGGCTTATTTCTCTGGGACAACGCGCTCCTTTCTAAACCAGCGCCCAGGGAGAGAAAGGCCTTTCTGGACGTTATTTATAGGTTATTCACACGTGCCCTTGTGCAGCCCCTGGCGCAGCGGGGCCATCGGAGGGCCGCTCCGTCACCGCTGTCCCTGAGGAGCATCCAGCTCCAGGATGCAGCACGGCCAAGTGCTGACCACGGGCGCGGGGCCTCGTTGGCATCACACTCCGGACACGCGGGAGACACGGATGGATGGTGGGAGCGAAGGAAACGCTCCTGCTAACCCTGGGGAACTTGCCCTGCAGGAGCGCTGGAGATTTCCCATGCCCTGCAAGTCACTAAAACCTGTTGGACACCTCATGTGGCAAGGGACGGTCACGCTAGACACGCAGCCGTACCAGACGGCAGCAGCAAAACATCTCATAAAACGTTAAATCTCTCGCTTAACTCACGGCATTTCCCCTAGACGGGCTCCCCGCAGAGCGGGCTGCGAAACGGGACCCGAGCGCTGCTGGCAGAGGGCAGCCAGGCGGGACAAAACGGGCTTTGCCTCCTCCACGAAACACGGCACCAAACTCTGCAGACACCCATCCTCCCCCCGCATGCATACATACACACACACATATGTTATATATACAAATGCATAGACACACACACACACACATACACATGTGCCCGGCTCCGCTTGCAAAGCGCGAGCCCGCGCCTGATGCCTTCGCTGCTCTGCTCCAGCTCCCGCTCCTGCTCGCGGCGGCCGGACTAAAGTTTTTGCTCAACTTGGGCAAGGCGGCGCTTCCCCGCGGCCGCGCTCGGGCCGAGGCGGCAGCAGCCGCGGCCGGAGGGAGCGAGCGAGCGCCGCGAGGGGCGGCCCGCGGGGGCGCCGCCGCCAGCGCGGCCCGGGGCTCCGCGCCCGCTTCCCGGCGGGGCGCAGCGAGGAGCGCAGCGAGGCGAGCGCGCGCGCAGGCAGCGCGGGCGGCGACACCCCCGCCCGGCGGCGCCGCAGAGGGACTCGGAGCCGCCCGCGGGGCTCCGCTCACCCTTGGTCCAGTCCAGCACTTGCTTCGGGCTCCACTTGGTCACCGGCTCCATGGCGAGCCCCGGCCGGGAGCAGCCGCGCCCGCCCGCGCTGCTCCGCGCACGGACACCGAGGCGCCCGCTCAGGCTCCGGCTCCAACACCCGCTCCCATCCCGTGCCCCGCGCCCGCCCCGCCCCCAGGTGCTGCCGCCCCGCGGGACGGGGCCGTTACCGCCCGCCCGCCGCCCCGCGGCTTCCGCGCGTGGCTGCCCCGGCCCGGCCCGGCCCGGCCTGACCTGGCCCGGCCGGACTGGCGCTCCCCGCGGGGCGGGAAATGGCCCCCGCGGCGGCCGCCGAGCGCCGACGTGGCCCCCGGGGAGAAAATGGCCCCGGCGGGCGCGGGGCGGCCGCGTCAGGGGAGAGGGGAAATGGAGGAGAGAACTGCCCGCGGGACACGGCAGCTGTGTGAAGGCACCTTTGTTTAATAAGAGCACGCTAAAAAATATAGTAACAACAACAGAAATAATAATAATAAAAAAAAAACTTTCCTGAAACTCCCGGTCTGAAGAAAAGGGGTTTTTTTATTTATTTATTTGCATATTTGTTTATTTTTCCCTTGGTCAATAGGTATGCTTGAGCCGGTGGTTGAATACCACTGTGGTTGATGCTTCGGTCTTGCCTTGTGCAAATTTCCAAAAAAATACAAATATTGAAACTTGCGTTTGTGTTTTAAATAGTTCGGATATAACCACTGCAAGGCATTTTGCCAGTTAATGCCTTTCAACGCTTGGAGGAGGCAAAGCTGAAACATCTTCATACAAGAGTGGTGCACAATGTGTTTGAAGAACAGAAACGGAGTCAGAAATCGCTCAGATGTCCCACACAGGCCTTCAAAATTCGAGATGAAAATAAATTCAGCTGCTGTGTGAATGAGTATCATAAAGCAAAAAGTTGATACGCCATAGGGACAAACTGATAATTTCCAGAGTTACATGAATTCACTAGTTGAAAAAATATTATTTGATATTTGTTCCTTTCGCTCTTATAGTTGCTTTTATAGCATTTATACAGCACTGTAAGGCCTGCTATATCCATATTGTCTATATAGATGGAGAAATGAACTTTCAGTGTATGTGGTGCGTCTTCAGGAAATAGAATATGTTGTAAACTCTGATAACTTTCCCAGGCTTCGCCTTTTTGCTGATTGCTGACACTAATCTTTAAAGCAGCAAAGTCGCCAAAACATGCAATAACTGTTACCTAACACTTTAATTGCTTTCAATGTCTAAAAGGTGCACCAGTTTTGATCTCATTCTGTGTAAATCAGCACAAAATGGAAGGTCTGAAATAGTCCCATCAAGGAACAAGAGACTCATCAAGGAGGGCCACAGCCAAGGCAGCTGCAAGGTTTGAGGCTGCCCTGAGGAGAAGGAGCCTTGTCTACCCGAGTTGCTTTCCTCACTACAGGTTTCAGGGCTTGCTGCAGCCTGCCATGCGGAGCAGTGGCATTTCGGGAGCCCCACGAATCTTCCCGCCGTGGGTGCGGTGGCCTCCACAGGGTGGGACCTCCATAGGGTGGAGCGGAGGCTGGATGGCGGAGCCCGTTGGAGTGGCTGCTGTCCATGAGTCAGAGCACTATGGCAATTTTAGCAACGACTGAAGACTTCCTCCAAGCGCTCTTTGCCCACTATTGGCATTTGCGTGGGTTTTTTTTTTTTTTTTTTTTTTTTAATTTCTGAATCCTGCATTTAAAAGAACCTTTGGGTGGGGAGGCCAATTCACCGCCAATAGGCTATTTCTGTTTTACTGTTCTCCCTGTGGAACAACATGCAGCCTAACAATGTGCCTTCCTCACCTTCCTCAAAGGGAACGTTTCACTTCTGGTCACCTCTTGAAGTCAGTATAATCCCTACTTCAGTTTACTGTCCTAGAATGACTTTTCTACCACTAGATAAGCAGCAGGGAGACATGGGGAAAACAGGTATTTTTATTACACTCATCACTTAGAAAATCTGGCTCTGTACCAAATTCCAACATGAGCCCTATTTGTGCTGCGTATGAAGGTCTCACTGCTCCTCTTCCTCAGTCCGAAAGAGCAGAGGGAACTCAGCTGCGATCGTAGGAGTGAAATTTGAGTCTGGCGATATCTGAGAGGAGGCAAGCAGCTGGGGTTGCAGATCACTGTATTTCCAATCATTTCCATTTCCTGTCCATGAAAGACACCTCAAAAGTTTAATTTTGGATAATAAAAAATGGGGAAAAGAAAATACATGTGTGTGTATGTGTGACAATACAGTCAAGCACATTACCACAGTAACTGTGTATGTTTGCTTGAAAACTCATAATGTGTTCATTCTTTTTGCTTGAGAGCAGTTGAAAACATATTTTTAGCTCTTGTTTGTAGAGTGAATTCATTTAATTTGATTTATTTATTTGTCATTTAGCTTCTGAATATTATACTTGCCAGTTAACTTTTTGCATGTTTAGAAGATTAAAGTGCAATTCATTACAACTCTAATATTGGTACAACAAAAGTTTCCCAATTCCTCATTGAAACATGTGCTTTTGAAACTTAAAAGAACAACAAGAAAAAACAGCTTTCAGCCCTTGGAGAGGCCTGAATAAACAGAAGGACCTTACTGTGTGCCCCTTTAATGGTTTCACAGTGGTTAATGTAGCAGTGCTGCTGTCTTAACTACACACATGCTTCCCAAGGTTGCAGGAAGGAAAGCAAATGTCTCTCCCTGTTGGTGTTTGGATCATTCATCTGCTGCCATCCTTCTCTGTCGCACATCTTGGGCCAGTCCCCGAGCTTTGCTTGGATGAGCACCATATCTTCAGAGTAAGACACGCAGGTCTAGTTAGCAGATTGCAAAATTGATAAATTGATTATTCGTTGTATCCTTTTATAACTTCCCAAATAACAAATCTACTTTATACATGTATGTATATATACACATATTTAAACAGTGTGGTATTGTAATGACTCTGTGTTTTTTTATTACAATACGTCCCTCAATACTAGCTCCTTTACAGCCTGGTCTAGATGAATGAGACAGGGCTGAAGAGGGAGAGAAGAGTGTCTCCAATTCCTCAAAGGGTTTCATCAAGTTGCTTGCCCATACTGATCTTTTCAAGCACAGATTACAACTATTCTTTGACTTGATTTTTTTCCCATAATTGCATCATCTCAATCTCTTCCTCACTTGAGATGAGATTAGTAGCCAATTGGCATGATGCAATTAGTACTTCTGTTTGTAGAATAAATTTTCTGTTAGCAAAAAGTACTCATTGCCTAAAGAAATGTAAATAAGATGGCTTTACTCTGATGTTCGCCCAACATGTGTGGTGTTCATTTCTGCGGCAAGGACCAGAACACTGTCTCTCCAAGACCGCACATTTCTTCATTTGCTATAATTTTCCAGTTGTTACAGTGATTTGATACAGAAGAATTTTCAAATTAATCATTTGCTGATTACTTGCTTTCTTCATTTTTGTTTTCTTTTTCTACTTAACAGGCGTGCAAGGGGGTATCAGTTTATTTAGCATGGATAGTTGGTGAATACAGTTCGTGTCAACTGAAACCATGGTTCCATAGAAATGGAAACAAAGCTGTGAGCCATCATAGCTCCTGTAAGAGAAGGGTTATAATACAGTTATAACCCCACAACTTCCACCTTGTCAAATTATCAGAGATACAATGTTTGTATCACCTTTAACAGCTGGTCCCCTGTCCTCCTTCAGTGAGTTGTGCCATAGTGCCATTTTATATAAAAACACACTGATTGACCCCATCTTTTAGGCCATGGTTTTCAATACCTAATCTGTGCACTGCCACGTTACCAGACTGGATCTTAACCATTCATGATAGGTAGGTAGATGATCATATTTCTATTAGAGTAACCTATGCGTTTATGGATTTTATTCAAAATATGGATTTTATTCAAACTTTAAGCAGGCTACAGGCTAGCAGAAAATGGCTGATGTAGCACAAAACCTGCCGGTACAGTGATAACACAACAAAATCTATGTAGGCCAAATTAGCAGATTACACAATGTGGTTTTTGCATATTTTTTTTTTCCAGTACTAGGAGCCCTTAAACCCAATTTATTGCATCATCCATTTAGGACTTGGATATTTTTGGCAAGTAGTGCAGGATTACACATGGCGAGGGTCATGACTTTGGCTTTTAGCATTGCCTAAGCCAAATGACTATGCTACATTGAAGTCATTTTTAAGAAGGTGGCACAGGAATTGCAGTCATATTGCCACTTGTAGCATTTGAAATTTCTTTTGCCAAAAGTCAACATAGTCAACCCATGTAGGGTCTGACCTTAAATATGAAAACATGGGGATTTTGATCATATACAGCTGGATTTAAATGCAAAATTAGTAACTTTTTTTTTTGTCACTGTCCCCTCTGTGTAATAATTTATGCTATATCAGAGCTTAATGCAAATGCTTACTTGTAATTTGCTCTTCTAAAAGGCACCTAAATGCATCCTAACAGTTACCCAACCCTGGGTTTACATCCATGTCCCAAATAGGTGGTGGCTTTGCTTGGGAAAGACTCCTGCTAATGGGGCCAAAGTTTTGTGGCAAGGCTGTAGCTCCTGGCTCTGAGTGCTCAGCGCAGTCTGATGGCTCTTAGGATTGCGGTCAGACTTAAGCAGAAGGCTCTTTCGTCGAAGTGTGGATTTGCACAGAAAGCAGTTCTGCACAGCAAAGTTTCTTGCCAGAAATGAGGGAGATTTAAATCTTAAACCCGTTTTGCAAACAGAGGTAACCACTGTTACATATCTTTGGAAGGGTGAATAAACAGCTGATTAGCCAAAGGTCACATACCAAGTTTAAAAATTGTGTTTTTTGTTCATGGCCACAAAACGTTATTTTTCTTCATGATCTAATTTTTTTAAAGGTCATCATATTGCCGTTTGTATCTTTGAGTGAAAGGATTGTTTATCCTGTTTGGCAAAGCTTTGCCTACGAAAGTTTGACTGTATTTCATCACATGATTCTTGAAAGGTTTATACATTTATTCATTTAAGATTCACAGTTGAAAAGTGTGAAAATTGGCAAACTAAAAATATAAAAGAAAAAGATTGTTTA